GGAAGTCAAAATGCACTGTGTTTACATTTTACTACTTTTATTACATTCAAATAATGATTTTGTTAAATATAGGCAGATTATGTATAGCTTTATACACCTTTAATAGATTAATAATACATAGAAATCATAATCAGATAGTTAAAAAAAGCATGCATAATTACATGCATTGATGCTCTGGTAGTCTAACCCATGAATTCAAATTCAGCTGATATTGTCAATTTGGCTGAAATAAATTTAATCAAACTTTGTATACATTATTTCTGGGGATAAATCTTCATGTTATATAAGTTAAGGTTCAGTTAAAAAGATCAGGAGTATTTCTCAAAAATGATATGGATTTGAAATATTACAAATTTTTTGGTACCATTTTTTAATGACAAATGCAGCGTATTTGATATTTCACAAATATAATTACCAGAGCAACAATACATAAATATTGATACAATTCAATTATTAGTTCTTTATTAATTACAATATCTTATGTTCATTATATATTCATTCCAGTAATGAAACAGAGCAACTGCTAATACCAACACCAGTGAAAGCAACAAGCACAAGTATTCTCTTAGACACTACTAGCGAAGAAATGGAACTTGAGGATGACTTCAATGATATACTTGCTTCAATTGATAGTGATAAACAAGAGGTATTACAGTTTGAAATTCACAATAGATTCATCATGAAGAATATGCTTGCAGAAATTGCTTTCAAAAAACCATTTGGGACTTCTCAGCCAAAATGTAATCTTATATTATCACAACTTCATCCTGAAAACCTAAAACTAGTGACTTTTGTAAAAAGATTATTCTTAACATGTTCAAATATTTTCAAAGAATTAAATATGGACAGTTTTCAACCTGGTACATCTATACCAGAGACTGTATTGGCAAATTTTTTTTTAAATGTATGAATATACACTTGATGTCCAATATACAATGGATTGTCTCAGCTTATTTAATATTGGAACAGATAATTTGTTTGAAGAAGAACACAAAATGGTTTGTTACATGATTGTGGAATATATTAGAGACTTTATACTAACACAAAGACTTGAATTACTACAAACACAAGGAATGAATGTTAATAGAAGGTTTGTTACAGATGCTTCCCGGTCAAGAATTCGCTATGTTGCAGGTTACTGTGTAGCAAAGCTAAGAAAAAAATATGTGCAAGTACTACAATCTAATATGTTTACTAAATCTAAAACATCACAAACAAAATTTAAAGAAGCTAAAAATACTCTTCTTATTCTTAACTCTTTCAAAGAAGAAGAACATTATTTACATCAGGTGACATCTGAACCAGACTCCCTCATAGACACTGAAAGAAAACAAAATGTAAGACGTGGTCTTACCAATGTAACGGATAGTATGTTCAAATTTTTCTTGACTTTAACTGATTTGTGTTTGGCAAAGCTAATAAATGAAAATTTGATAAAATATGGTAAATCAATGTTTAACAATTGTTTGGAGCATTTGCTTAGTGAAAAAGGTTTATTTGAACAATTTTCACATATGGTTATTAAAAAATTGAAAGAGGAGACAGTAGAAGAATTTTCTTTAAACCAAGAACATATGATATTAACAGAACTTGTCGACTCTTTGGTACTTACATCTGCCCAGATATGCAGCATATACAATGAAATTATTAATAAATACTTTATGGTTTTATTTGCCCAGTTCTGCCGAGATATCAAAGGAGCTTTTCATATTATGAAAACAATGGCTCACAGGAAGCAAATAAAAGTGTCAAAATCTTCGGAGCATACAAAGCAGAAAAAAGGCTACTGAAACTTCTACAGAAACAATACAATTAGTAAAGTCAATGTCTACTACTGAAGTACAACCCACAGTACCTGTTCAACCCAGTCCAGAGCCTGAACCCCAACCAGGGTCATCAAGTTTGACAAGTGATCTCTGTAAAAAAATGTCAAAAGTCAGAAGGAAATCAATGGATTCTATGTGATTCTTGTAATTATTTGTTTCACAGAAAATGTGCTGGTTTGCATAATGCAAGAAAATCGAAAAAATATTCAAAGGAAGGAACTGAATGGAACTGTCCCGAATGTGATTGAAAATTGTATTGAAAAAAAACTCTATAACTTATCCAAATTTTTACAACAGAATCACATTTTTCATTACACTTTTCATAACAGAAAGACATAAAGAGGAGTTCGACTGTTCGTTTGGATTTTTTACGGCATGTCAACACATAACTGGCCATATTGTGCCGAATGCTATAATAGGCTTAAAATGTTAACTTATGTAATATTTTATAACTGACAATAAAAATGAGTCATTTAGATCCTAGAGTAAAAGTGTATATCTTTCAAATAATCAATGATGTTTTTGATGGAATTGTATTAAAGAGTTCTTTGAGTGAGTTTACACGATAAAATCTTTTTCGGGCCTGTGAAACACCATGACATTCAAGAAGAAAATGTTTGGCAGTAAAATTTTTATTATAAGCTACACAGAAAGGGGAGAAAGTTGTCACAAGGGTGTTTCATTTGAGCATAATAATGCTTACCTATATGAATACATGAAATTGTCTCAAAAAAGGTACGTACAAACCTTTGAGAAGTTATTGAAATACCAGAAGTCCTCATTGCTATGGCCTCTTATATTCAAGCAAGTTATTAGTACTACCATCACAATCACTGCTAATATTATATAAAAATGCTATAAAGCAAAAACCAGGATTTGAAGATGATTTTTTCCAATGGATGTATGCAGAGGCAAACAGGCAAAATTTACCAGAGGGTGAGAGATATGGGGGTGTCATATTTGATGAAATGGCCATTCAAACCGATATTCAGATTGATAAATATGGTGATGTTGTTGAAATATCTGGTTTTACTGATTATGGGAAGGAGGGAGACACCTGCCATGCTTTAAAACAAGGGTCTAAAGAAAAGAAATTAGGCAAATATGCACTCCAATTACTTTTCCTTGGAACTAATGGTTTTCGTTTTCCATTCGCATATTTTATAACCAACTGTGTACAGGCATCTGAGCTATTTAGTATTTTCTGGAAAGCAGTCTACTTATTAAGATCAGCAGGATTTACAGTTCTTTATACCTGTATGGATGGGGCTCAAGCTAACCGTTCATTAATGCACATGTGCTTGGGAGATAAGTCACATAGTTATATAGCAAGAAGTCCTTGCACATCAAATGACATAATATTTTTAATGGACTTTTCACATGTGGTAAAAAAACTGAGAAACAACATTCTTAAAAGTGGAATTCATCCAAAAAGTACAAGAATTCTAACTTTACCAAGTTCTTACACTATCCAGTGGCAAATGTTTATTGACTTTTTCAACTGGGACCAGCAAAATGCTCTACAAACTCATAAAAAATTATCTAGAGAACATTTTCATCTTGATTCACAATTGAAAATGCGAAATCATTTAGCAGAAGATGTGTTAAATTCTGAAATGTTGCATTCCATGAAATTGTATCAAAAGAATCTCGGTCAAAAAGGTGAAGTATTAAATGGAGTTATAGAACTGCTTGAAAATACATCAAAATTAATTGATATTTTTCGTGATATGAGACCTGTTAAAGTGTTAGATGATAACAGACTTGGAACTTTACATGCTGTTGCTGAATGGTTTTCCAAGTGGGACAATTTAGTTATGAATAGCAAGGAAATTTCAGAAAAAAATAAAAGGAAAAAACTCTTATCTCAACAATGCGCAGAAGATGTACAGTCATGTATTTTGGGTTTTATTGCACTTTGCAGAGCAGTGCTAAATAAATCATCTATAATGTATATCACTCCAGGACTGGTCAACTCTGATGTTATCGAGAATGTTTTCAACCAGCAGAGATCCACTTATCATGGAGCAAATTCAAATCCTAGTGCACTACAGTATCAGCGAGCAATAAATAGTATTCTTGTAGGCCAAAACATGGTCTCAAAAAAATCAAATGCTGCCACTAATGCAAGAGTCAAATATGAACCATGCCATTTAAATTTAAACCAGCCTTTACGAAAAAGGCCATCAATAAGCTGTACTTCAAGTGATGTAAAGGTCATCCGACTGTAATTAAATATAAATATGACATCTAGGACAATTTGTGAAGTTTCATAAAAATCTGGAAAAGAGATGATCCCACGGAAGCAATGAAAACAACAAAACTATAATAATAAAAAGCAGACAGTTTGATTTGAGTATGTTTATGAGAGATAATGTAAAAGTGACACTAACATTTTGGATACTGATCCTGCTGAAATATGGTAATTAAACAAGATCAACATGGAAAGGCGGCGTTCAATTAGTTCAACCCCCAAACAACCCAGCAACAAGGAGCCCTGGAGGACCCCAAACAAAACAGGACAGGGTGCAAGGCAGAGCACAGACAGGATAATCACAAAAATGATACTTAAAAAGAAAATATAGTAAACGACAAGGAAATTAAAGACAAGAAATAATTGATTGATTAATAGGTCCACAAAGAAATTTTAACAAGGCCTTATGACACCCCCATACTCTCTGGAAAAGAGGAGATCCTTCGAGAGCAATGAAAACAAATTTAAACTAAAACCCGTCTTGGGACAGCAGGCTGCACTTTTCTCGGTGCTGGACAGTTAAATAAAAGCAACATAGAAATTAATTAGTGTACTCAACATTTAACATACTGGAATCAATAAGTGTGAAGATCCAGAATTACATTACTACATTGTAAAAGTGAACAGTAACAAAAAGTTAAATCAAGAAGTTCTCAAATGAATTATTCAGTAATAATCCATGCAAGAATATTAGATTTTGGACAACAAATGTCATCTAGAAAAAATGGTATTGCTGGAAGTTAAATAGGCACAACTCCAGTGGTTGAGCAAGTGTTTTGCCAGTGATGACACGAAGGTGAGTAAGACAAAAGTACTTTCCATTAAATAATCAAGCTAAATATGTATCATAACATTAGGAAGAAACAATTCTTCTTTCATTGCTTGGATTGGTTGTGATTCTTATTAACTTGAAAACATAATCACCTTATCATTCTACAACAGCTAAAGTCTTCAATCATTCCATTGCTTTTCATATCCGAAATCTGTTTGATAGCAGCAGGTGGGCTAAATATGTACCTCGGGTGAAAATTGATTACACGCAACCCCTTTGAAGACTTAACCCTAGAAATCGCAACCCCTAGCTGACCTGTCTTAAATATATCATTGCAGTCCACTTCAAGCCTGAAAAATATGTATTTTGTATGTAATAAATAGAAAACCATGCTCTTAGTTATATTAATTTCACTATTTTACTTTACATGAGGAAGATGCAATATTTCCATTGTCTATTTCAAATGACTTATTATTGTTTTTTATTACTAATAAAAATTTAAATATTAAGTTCAATTATATAAGATAGTAACAGTTACTAATGTATACAGACAGCACTGTTTGGAGGTAAAATACATTTAGGAAAATACTTTTATGAACTACATGTATATTTACCAAGGCAATGTCATCCCCTGTGCTTTATGAATTGTTAATGCAAATGCTGGTTTTACAGGAAACTGCATTCTGCTTGCAATATCTGAATTTGTCCTTGGATCAAACACTGTTCAATGAAAATAAAAATAACAACATTTTTTACTTTTTTGAAAAAAACATGTATGTGCACAAACCAATTCAGACAATTACTAATTACTTTAGACTAGCATGTATGTGTTTTAAACATAATGTTATTACTGATTTAAATATTTAAACAGAAAAGGCTCTGACATGACATATTAGTTTTACCTGTAAAGGACTCTTTATGCAATGTTTGTGTCTTTTGTAAACTGGGAAAGTACACTGCCAGTTTTGTCTCAGTAGCATACTTCAATATTCCTCTCAACCCATTCACAAGTGTGTCACTTAAATTTCGCAGCAAAATCACTGGACATTCAAGCTTCAACCATAATGTTTTAGGCACTGTCAAAGATTTCAGTTCTGCTGCATTCCCATTGTCTGTTGCTTTGAATTCAAACAGGTCTCCAGGAGAATTCAGTAAACACTGATGATTGTACGTATCCACTAATAAATTGGTTGAAAATAATTTAAGGCTGTCACAATTACCTGGTAAAGATTTATTGACACTGTTCATAAATTCTATGACACATTCAGTTAAATTGCCTTGATATATATCAGATATAACTTTAACAAAAAGTTCCTCATCCTGTCGCACATTTTGAGTTAATGTTACTGTATGAGAGAAACAAGTTTGAAAGAACTCACTTAAGAAACAATATGTGCCATCGTCATTGTACCTTTTGTTCGGTACAGGTGGGAGCTGAAAAAAGTCACCACTGAATATAATTTGAATACCTCCAAATATTTTACATGGATTTTTAATTTCACAGACCTTTTTTATGGACTCGAATGTACGTTTACTTATCATAGAACATTCATCTACTATTAATACATCTGTTGTCATAATTGCATCTATAATCTTGTCACACTTGGCATTGTTTTTCAATACTGACACAATTTCATTCGGATCATGCCTTCCATCATCTATCCCAGTGAATTTGTGTATTGTCATTGGTTTTAAATGGGTGGGGTACACTGCACATGCTATGCCCGTGCTGCATGTCAGTTTCACTTGTTTACCTTTTTCATTCAATTCCTTACAAATTTCAGTAATAAGATGGCTTTTACCCGTCCCAGCCGATCCTAATAAAAGAAGGTTGTGTCCAGCACTTGCAATGCTTAAAGCATCCCTTTGTTTTTGGTTTAAAGTCATTTTCATTTACGTTTTCGTAAACCAGCAATGTACATTTGTTTACATTTACATTTATCTGATACTTATACCCTTTTTCTATTGCAGCTTCGTAGAAACCTACCTTGCAGGACAGGGAACCAGAAATCAACCAATGAAATTATCCGTTGCAAATCGGCCACGTGATAACCACTGGATGCGGATTACACTTTTCATTTCTACGTTCAAGAAATTAGTTGTTTTCAGCTGTTATAAAACATTTTGAAAATCAATATTTAGCGGTAAGTTGTTTCTTTGAATGTGTTTTATCGATTTATTGCGGGATGATACACTGTCGTTGTTTGGAATTGCGTTTTACACGTAGAAAATTGAGTCGGGACTGGTTACACGGTCATGTCCGACCTAGTTGTTCAAAAACGGTTTAAGTGGGGACAATAATGTTATTGTCAACGTCTAGTGATGTCATTTACCTGCGATTTGATATATAGCTTTATATGATTTACGTAAAAATGACTTTGTAATTTTGACTTGTACTGGACTAGTGACAATCGGCCGATTTGGCGAGTTCAACCCCTTGTCTATATATTATATATACAGTATATATATTTTTTTTTAGAATTACTTTTTTACACTATCCCAACACTGTGCTGGGTCCCTGTGATCTCACTGTATAAATCGCATGTAAAATGGTCTGACATATGGTAGGTTTAACAGTTTGGAGTGAAGTTTATACGGTGATGAAGCTAAGATATTGGTGTAATACATTTTAAAACACAACAAACTAGCGGTTTAAAAACGGCTTATTTTGTATTGTTTTAGCATACGCGGTATCGATTTTACTCGAAGATAAGGGAAGGAACTCGTATTTTTCACTCGATATACCTCGGTTATTTACGTAGATCCTATTGAAAGTGTTTATGGGTGACGACTTTACTATATTTACTATGTATTCATTTCTTGCTAGCAAGCGCATGCGTATATGCGAAGTTTAACGCGTAGGTATAAACTACGATTTTATCAATGAACTGTTATTTTTGTTTTCTTTAAAGGAATGTAGAGTCTATTATTTCATGAAAATGAACGATTTGTAACTTTCAAAGCATTTAAACTTTGCAAACACTATTTTAATGATGTGTAGTCGGAATGTAACGCTACTGCAGAATGAAGAACTAGTTTCTATAGCGGTTTTTAACCGGGAGTGGATGTTGTTCGGTAACGACATACTGTCTCATCTCTAGATCGAAAAATATTTGTCTCGTAAATAATTCGACAAACCTAATCGGACTATATGGTGAACTCTGTAGATTTCCAATGAAAATATTAAGAAAGGTTATTATAATAGAGTATATATACGCGTTAAGCCCACGTTCAGTTTTTCAGTTTTGTGACGTATACTAACAAATTATTGGAAATTGATTGTATATCGAAAATATGTTTGGCCTTGAAGGAGAAGTGATATACAATATATATAGTATGAGAAAGATATGTAAACCTATAAAATCCCGGCAGTTGTAAACGTGCATACCAAAGTAGGTAAATGTAAGCAAGTTGTATATATTCTTACTATACGTTAGGTTATGAATACCTTCTCTACGATATCGCGAAGATAGACCGTTGTACTTTCACATTGGATTTTTTTTCTACAAATTCTTTTTATATTTGTGCTCATTTTCATCCAGGAACCAGGAAATAATTAGGTTGATTGTTTTACAACAGTTTATAAATTTTGAAGTTGAATCTTTATTATAGGATTTAAATGTACGTTCTGCTTGTATTTTAAGGTGGTGACCTGTAAAAATTTTATTGGCCAAGAACAAATGGCCTCATCTGTATTTGCTTAAACATTAAATACACTGAATAAATGTACGCTATTTAGATATTAACCTGCTTAATTCAGCTCAATCCGTTCTATTTTAATATTCGTTATACGATTTATACCGGGATTATAGTCAATAGACCTTTTTACAATACGATTCGTCCATAGCAAGCGATGTTGCATTTCGCGCATGCGCATTCTGCGTAGGGCAAAAGCGCAATAAAATTGACAACAGTGTATGATACTTCAAGGCTTTAATAGTCGTGATTCCATGTTATATCAACTAGAAAACAGTAATTTTGGGATGACTTAAAGCGGTAAGTACTCAAAACGTCAATTGATATTTATAACAGATATAATAAATATGCAGGACTAATAATCCAATGGTCAAAAGGCGCATACAAAAGGCGTCTGTTTAAGGTATCAATAGACGACTTTTTCATCCGTAATTTAAATTTAAACAGCAGGGTGTTAAATATTATGCAATTATTGACTAGTGAGCCTTTGAATATGATGTGATATTCACCGGCCGATGACATCGCCTCGGACAATATGACTTTCTGCCGGTGAATATCACATCATATTCAAAGGCTAACTAGTCAATAATTGTTTTATTATATGAATATGCTAAGAAATAATAAAAAAAATATCACAAAAAGTACAACTTTATATGCATGTACAATATATTGATTATGACTTTCAGACAAATTTTCATTAATAATCTACGTACATTCGTTACTATAAAACCACGTGGTCGAACTACTTTCAAACCGTATTAGCCGAGTTGTTCCGCTTGATCCGAAGGCCGAGAAGATGCGATTGTGATAATTTTGGGAAACCAATTTAAAAGGATGGATGAATCTATTTTTAGATTTTTACACAAGCCTGTTTTTTAAAACATATGCATATTTACGTTTGTTTTATATTTGAAAAAGTGTGACGTTGACGAGTGTTTTTAACGTTCTTTTAGTTTATTCTTGTAGCTGAAATGTTATTACATTTGTCAGAAAAGGGCGATGTTTTATCATAGACAGTAAGATATTATTATTATTATTATTATTATTATTATTATTATTATTATTATCATTATTATTATTATTATTTTCATCATTAAATCTATATAATTTATTTTCTTTAATTTATTTTCAAAAAGAGATATTTTTAAAATATGAGCTTTACGATCCAAAAACTTTAAAAAAATAATAAAGTTAGCTAAAGAACATTTAATTAGCTCCGGTTCACTATTAATTTAACATAACTTGAACTTTTTTCGCCTGAAAACTGGTTCGATATTTTTAATAATGCACTAGTCGGTTAAAGTGACAGATCTCCTTTAGCCCTATGAGACAGCCAGATTGTAAAAAATAACGCCATGTGCTCCCACAATGAAACTCAGATGTAGTATACTAAGCAGTAATAGTGTCTGAAACAATAAGTTTTGTTTTTACAATCAGTTTGGATTGAAACAAATTTCAAGAATAAACAGAACCTCATTATTTCTGCTCCCTATGCCCTGTCCCAGGTCCAAGGGCCGTGGTTTCAAATAACCCACACACAAGAACAGGTAAGTTTATATTTATTTCATCTCTCACTAGCATCCTGCATTTGTTCTGAATAAGAGCAGTCACATGTTGACCTACTATTTTTCTATAGTTGATTAGTAGCTTGACACTATGTGACTTGTCATACTTTGTTTGTTTCATCAACAGTATTTCGGTCATATAGGCGGGTATTTTCCTAACCATACAAATACAAAATGGCCACAATTCAACAAAATTCAACAAAATTGACAAAAAACTAATTATCTTCCTCCAAAAAATTATAGATATAAAATAAATCATGTTTATGCCCACGGGCATATAGTAATTAAACCTTCCGTCCGTCCGTCTCTCCGTACCAAGTTAACATAAACCGGCAAGTTACTAATGGCTTCATTATTAATAGACTTACTTATCAATACAAAGTACATGATCTTGGCAAGTTATTTGCCTATGGCTTCCATTTTTTTCAAGTTGTGCTTTTTAGCACTTCGAAATTACATCCATCACTCAACAGTTCAATCTAGAACAACTAATTGATGAACCAACACATTACACTGAACATTCAAATTCTTTGATAGACCTTATATTAGTTTCAAACAAAAACAATGTTATTTATTCTGGTGTTGGTGATCACTTTCTAGAACAAGAACTAAGGTATCACGTTCCTATATTTGGTTTTCTGAAATTCCGTAAACCGCGACAAATGTGTTTTGACCGCATTGTTTGGGAATATGAACATGCTGACTACGAAGCATTACGTGAAGATATAAATACCTATACATGGGAAAACTGCTTTGATGCAGATGTTAACACATACGCGAATAACGTAATCAATCAGATACAAACAATTGCTAAAAACAAGAACCGGTTGAACCGGGTGATGCTCCCCGAGAAGGTTCTGGACACAGGAAAGTATAAAAAAATGAACAAAGGGCAATAACTCCAAAATTACACCAGGCTTTGTTTAGGTTCTTGAAGCGTTGCAGTTCTATCCAATTATATCTAGCTACCTACAAAGTTTCATGTTGATATCTCTAATAGTTTTAAAGTAATGTCCAGGACAAAAGTCAAAAAGTAAAAATAAACAAAGGGCAATTACTTCAAAATAAGGCAAGGCAGAGTAATGATTCTTAAGCACTGCACTTCCACCCAATGAGACCTATCTATCTACAAAGTTTCATGTTGATATCTCTTATAATTTTAGAATAATGTCCCAGACAAAGTTCAAAGTGTCAAAATGAACAAAGGGCAATAACTGCAAAAGAAGGCAAGACAGTGTTACAGTTCTTGTGCACTGCAAACTTACTTAATGAGATCTATCTACCTACAAAGTTTCATGTTGATATCTCTTATACATTAAGAAATATGTCCCGGACAAAGTTCAAAGTGTAAAAAATAAACAAAGGGGGATAATTCAAAAATTAGGCAAGGCAGAGTTAAGGTTCTTGTTCACTGCACACCTACTCAATGAGATCTATATACCTACAAAGTTTCATGTTGATACCTCTTATACTTTTAGAGTTATGTCCCGGACAAAGTTCAAAGTGTAAAATAAACAAAGGGGGATAATTCAAAAATTAGACAAGGCAGAGTTACGGTTCTTGTGCACTGCATACCTACTCAATGAGAACTATCTACCTACAAAGTTTCATGTTGATACCTCTTATACTTTTAGAGTTATGTCCCGGACAAATTTCAAAGTGTAAAATAAACAAAGGGGGATAATTCAAAAATTAGGCAAGGCAGAGTTACAGTTCTTGTGCACTGCACACCTACTCAATGAGATCTATCTACCTACAAAGGTTCATGTTGATA